CCATCAGCAAGAAGCTACATATATATTCTGCCTAATTTGATGGGGCTGAACTTCAAAAACAGATTAAGTCTTTTTAGTTCTTCACCTCAAACAAAGATAATTGGCTTGAAATATAGGAGATGAGAATAAATCACAAATACTGTTATTTCAAAGACATTTCCTTTCATTTGATCCCGATTTGCTTGACATCTCCATGCATAAAAAGTAATGTTCCATCTGCATGCCAGTTTTGCACATTTTGCTCAGAAATACCATTCTTACATTTTAGCCCTGGATGGTAATTTCTAAGGTTTCATCTCCTCTCATTTGACAGCTATTCGGTGATTGCTTGGAATCTCATGGGTATAAACAGCAAATCGGGAAATGCGGTAAAACGAAGAGATACCAGGAGGTCAGAGATGAAGTGAGGGCATTTTTCTTGAGAAGCTTGAGAGAAATAGTTCAGTCCTGGTTTCTGCATGGAGAGCCCAGACACCACTCCCAAGCCCATCTCCTGGGGCTTGGTTATGGCAGCCCGAGCTCTCATTGGCCTAGGGGAGTCTCAAGAAGACATATTAGTCTGCCTGAGTTTGAGTTTCAAACACCATTTTCTGCAATATACCAGCACAGACATCTGGGCAAGGCTTGGAAAATTGAAATAAACATTTGTCAGCAAAGCTCAAAGTGTGCCCTAAAGGATAACTTTTTTTTTTTAAGTATTATCTCATTTCTAGCAAAATCTCTACTCTGAGACCATGTCTAGAGGCCCTAGACCAGGTCTACATCAATTTCTCTCTTATGGCCTTGCTTGATGCAGGACATGCATCACGCCCTGTGCTAACGGTTCACCTGAAGTTAATATTTATTTTAGCTATCTAAAGAATTACTCCCAACATCACTCATGTATTTGATTCTAAGGATCACTGCCGATAACAAAACACCTAATGGAATAATGTTCTCAGTTTGTCATTCCTGTTGGATTTACCAACCACATACTGACAAAAGTCTTGGTACCTGGCTGCTACAGTGGACAATGGCAAGTAGTAGCATCTATTTGCCTTGGAAAAATTATCTGCCCTCTTCCCAATCATGGACTCTGGGTGCATGTATTTTAATAGAACATTTCTAAACCTGACCAAACTGCTGGAAAGAAATTTGGAATAAAAGCTTGTCTTTCGTGGGTTTTTTTTTTCCCATTTGTTAAACCTCATTATTATGAGGAAAAGTATATTGGGTCTGACCCTCGCAACAGTTCTGGGCACTGTGGCTGTAGGCAGTTCATACAATGGAAGTTGGTAACTGGCTGGATTCCTTCCGTGCCTGTGCACCACACCCACAACTGTTTAATTTGCATAGAATTTGAACGCTTTGTGCCCAAATCTTCTACTTGTGTTCTGCACTTGGTGGAGGGGGGGTTGGTTGCTGGGAATGGAAGGAGTTGCTTTAATATGGTTTGAGAGTTGATTTGGGGTTGCTTATACAATAGGCAGAAAATGACAGCATTACAAAATATTGTATTATTCCAAAATAATATTTTACATGTCCTCTTCTTTTATCGTTGGTATTTATAGTCTACTTTCCAAGATTCAGGTTAGGTCTGTATTGAGTGGCTTATCTCCCCAAATGGATCAGATAAGGGAATTATTCCTAATTGCCTCTTTGAAGTGTTAATGTAGAAAAGAAGTTGATTGTGGTCAGATTGCTCTGTGCAAATCATGATGGTAGACTAGGCCAGTCCCACCAGGGATTACAAACCCCTGGTCCTCAAAGGGGTTCCATCTAGATGTAAAAAGAAAAACCTGAGACAGGATGGAAGGGGGCAGGGCACAGCCATTCAGGGAATGCTACAGCAATTAACATCAAAATGGTGAAAGATTCAACCCCCAGTAGGCCTTGAGGCTCAGGATGATGAGAGATTTAACTTCTAGTAGATCTCAAGCTTCATTATACGCCTATTGTAATATATTAACATGGTGAATAACACGCCCACAGGCACCATGGCAGTCCCAAGGCTAGCCACAAAAGGTCAAAGAAGGGGAAATGGCCAACCTCCTGGGAATCCCAGCCCCTTCCCTAGGCTAGTTAGACTGGTCCTTCCACTTAACAGCATATGAAGCCAGTGAGCCCATAAAAGCTGGCAATATGGTGCCTCTCCTCCGCTGCCTCTCTCTCTCCTTCGTGCCCCTCCACCCCCGTTTGGAGCCGGCCTTCACTCTGTGAAGGGCACCCAACCCCCGCACCTCGTGGCCTTTCTCTTGCCTTTCAACGTATCTCTCTGAATAAATGTACCTTTACTCAACTGTGGCTCGCTCTTGAATTCTTTCCTGCGTGAAGCCAAGGACCCACACTTGGCGGGGCACATCCCAGGGGCTCAACCGAAGCCCGGGACACGGTCCTCCTCACGCCCCACATCTGTTTTTCCTGCGTCACTGAGAGGGGAGGAGATGGGTTAATTGCGGACAGCTAGATCTGGGAGGGAAAGGAAGGGGCCCAAGGAATTCTGTGGGACAAATTCATGGGGAAATGTGAATACTGAGTCCTGACTCTACCACTTTCCAACCAGATGACTTTGTGCAATTTCCTCAGCTTTTCTGGATGGCGGTCCCTTAGACAACTGGATCTCAGTGACGCTTATCTGAAATTGGTCTGAATTTCAGCAACATTTCCCCAAAAGGGTTGTCGTGTGTGTTAAATAATTCACCATCTAGGAAGCTTGGTGGGATGACAGTCAATGTGATTTACTTTGCATATTTATTTTTAAATTCTCAAATATTCCATCTCAATACTTACATTCTCTTGTATCATTAAAAATATTTACATGGGATGTAATAGATGTGTTGCATTTCAATAGCTTCTTTTAAAAATTTTAAAATGAGAAAAAAATGAGTGCAATTTCCTGTTGGTAGAATGTATGGGGGCATCCCTGACCTTTATCCACTGGATGCCAGTAGCACCCCCTCCAGTTGTGACAACCAAAAATATCACCAGATGTTACCATGTCCATCCTGGGGGTCAAATCACGCCCAGCTTAAAACCACTGTTCTAGACTGATGCACAGGATAAGAGAGAACCCCTATTACAATGTGCGGCCCATAATAAACATTAAACAAATGCTGGTGCCATTCCTTAAAACCATTTTGGATGTTGCATTGCTGCAGATGTATTGGAGGAAGCTCTGACTTGAACATTCCAAATGCAAATTGTTGTGTGGCAGTTTGGCAAGCCTTCTTGTAAGGTCAGATAATTATTTTCTCCTTCAGAATGGTTCTCTGAGTATGGTCGTAAGAAAAAAAATGATAATTTGATTTTGAGCTTCCCTAGTGGATGTCTAGCCCTTAATTTAAGAAAAAATGTTACGTGTTGTAATTGATCAGTGTGATTCCTATTAAGTCAGTGGGGAGTCAATGAATAAATCCATACGCAAGACTTGAAAACGTAACCTTGGATGTGATCCACTTGTTATATTCGTAAGAATTATAATTGATGGTCTGCATATGGAAACTTTTCTCTCCTCCTTCCTCTTCTAAAAATTTAAAGCCACACACACTTTTCCAAAGGAGTTCCCCTTGTCAAGAAAGCAAACGGAAAAATGAAACAGAAAAGATGATTGTCGTAAACATCATTTTCACTTCATTTTCTTAAACATGTAGCCACTCCAATAGCCTTGATCAAACATTTGAGTTTCCCTGGGGTCGGGAACAGTTCCCTGACAATAGTTCCCTGTGATGTGAACTACAAATAGGTGTGGTTTTGCTCTCTCCTCCATCACGAGGAAAAAATGAGGATCAGTATCTTTATAGAAGCTTCCATGGACACGTATCTCAGAGGGAATTCTGCCTTTTACTTAAGAGTTCAAAATAGTGAATTGGGAACTTTTGTGAGATCGGCCAAAGGAAGGAAATACTCAGTAGGTTACCTAGCCTCAGTTCTGCCCAGATTCTAGCACAGCAGCAGCCACGGCCGGAACAACTGTATCAACAGCAACCGTGACATGAACAACAGCCACAAACAATGCCTATTTCTCTTACAAGCTTGACTGTAAGCACGACAGACTTCTCCTCTCCATCTCTGTTACCTCCCAACCACAGCAAGCCCTGCCACTTCACAGCCACGACAGCAACAGTTCCGATGACAATAACCACTCCTTTACGTTTGCCACTACTCTCCCACAACCGCTGGGAAAAAAACAATTGAGAAGCCACTCTGTTCCACAGCCTTTAAAGAATCCTATGAGTTAAATACTGTAACTCCATCTTCTAAAACTGAGTCTTAGAGTTGGACTTCTGAGCTCACAGAATCCATTCAAGACGTGATGCTGGATCTCTCTCCCGTTCAATGATGTCCTGCTGCACACCATGGCCAGATGACTTTGTCTTCCTAGAACTTGGTCATTTTGTGCAGAGGATGGATTAGACACCGTATAAGCAGTTTCCTCTATTTTTTTCCTCTTAACTGTATCACCATAGCATCTGAGCCCAGAGAGCATAGCATTACACAGTGACATGTTCAAATGTGCCCCGTGGATTCCCCTGGGGACAGATGGCTACAACTGTGACTCAGGTGGTAAAAGAATTTGTCCTTTCCTGGCCAACAGGACAACACTGAGATCAGAATCCCCAGTGTCCACATCAAAGCTGGCCACAGAGTAAACCAAACACTAAAACTTTAAGACATTTTTTTCAGGTGCCTCCCAATTGCGATTCTGTCTGCTAGGGTTTGCCCCCTCTACCATCCTTGTAGGTTGCCAAGACGCAGTGAATTCCTTGGTGTGTCCGGAACAAACATATTTCTCAAAAATGTATGGTGCTGAAGACGTTATACTGTCCCCACCTTCCTCCCAATATAACACAGTGCGAGTGACCTTGACCCACCTTCCTGTGTTAAGCCATGTTGTCTGGCATTAGTACCACATTGGTTCCCTCTCCCAGCTGCCTTCTGACATCTACTCATCATTCTTAGCTGAGAAAATGACAGCAATAACCAGAGAACTTCCACAAACTCCCAATTCCCCATCGACTCACCTTCATCATCTTCCTTCTCGTTACCGTGGGTAAACTACTCAGACGCCTCTCCAAAGGCAACACCTTCACTAGTGCACAAGAGCCCATCCTCTCGCTCCTGCATGAAAATGCCACTTCTGCAATTTGTCTTTCTCCTTCCTACGTCATCAGTCCGTCCCTGCACTTTATCCGTCTCTCCCTCCTACGTCATCAGTCCGTCCCTGCACTTTATCCGTCTCTCCCTCCTACGTCATCAGTCCGTCCCTGCATTTTATCCGTCTCTCCCTCCTACGTCATCAGTCCGTCCCTGCATTTTATCCGTCTCTCCCTCTACGTCATCCGTTCGTTCCTTTCTACTAGATTGTTCCCAGCTGTGTTTAACCACCGACATCTCTCCCACCTGCAAACCTTCTCCCTTTCCCTTTCTCCCTCCCCCTGGAGCTTCAATTTTCCCCTCTCTTTAGCCAGCCTCCTCTAAGCGTTGTTTACGCTAATGGTCTTTACTTTCCTTCTGAACTTATTCAACCAGTTTTTCCAGGCTTTCACCCGGTTCATTGCACTGAAAGCATTTTCAGTAATGTCACCAACGAATTCCTTGTAACTGATTCTAATAACTAACGAAGTCTTGCTTTTCCCATATTTGCCTCCCACACAATCTTTTTTAGCCCAGTAACAAGACGTGAGTCAAATCATGACAGACCTCTACTCAAAACATATTCAAGGCTTCTCATTGTATGACGTCATTATAATTTTATACAAGATTCTATGTGATATTCCCCCTGCCCTACTATAAACTCTCAACCCTCATCCCCTCCTATGCTTGCTCTTGCTCACTCTGTCTCAGCCATATCATCTCCTTGGCAATCCTTGAATAAGTCAGGTGCTCACCCACCTCAGGGCCTTTGCACTGGCTGTCTTCTCTCTGATCTGCTCTTTTCTCAGAGACATGCTGGGATACTCCTCAAATCCTTCAGGTGCCTGCTCAGATGTGACTTCCCTGTTGAGGTCACCTGTCTCCTCTACTTAGAAATGTACTTTATCTCTACTCCTGGGCCTCCCCCTCCACCACTGTCCACCCTCCCCATTACGATGGATGCTTCCCCATATCGCTTACCACATTTTATTATACCATATAATTTACTTATTTATTATGTTTACTGCCTGTCTCCTCCACCAGAATGAAAACTCACTGAAGGAAACAATATTTGTGTTTCCAGGTTTTAGACCAATTCTTGGCACAGTACGTGTTCAGTAAATAGATCTTGAACAAATGAACTAGTGGCAAAATGAACGATGGTGCTCTATGGAACTGGGTCTCAAAGTACTTCTTTTTTTTTTTATTGATTTATAATCATTTTACAATGTTGTGTCAAATTCCAGTCAAAGTAGTTCTAAAAATGGAAATTCTATGGCTCCAAACATGGCTGTGAAATTAGGGCCTCTGGAGGTGGGCCCTGAGAATCAAGTTGATTCTTAAGCATGGATTCCTTGTAGTGACCCTTCTGAGAAGGTCAAGGAGCCAGAACTCCAGGATCTGAATGGCTGTTGGGTGGTAAACCAAGGAGGGGGGTTCACTCAAGTAGGGCGAAGCCCATGATTCTGAACTGGGGCAATTTTGCCTTCCCCGGCCCCCCTGATCCTGGAGACATTTGGCAATGTTGGGAGACATTTTTACTTGTTCAAAAAGGCAGTGGGGGTGCTGGAAGAGGTGTGCTGTGGGCATCTAGTGAGTAGAAGGACTAAGGGCAGACTTGAGAACTAGGCTCTCCTGACCACAGTGACCGACACTAAGCCAACAGCAATTCTGGGATTTCTGTTGGATCTCTTGGAAAACTGAATCTGGCCTCTGCTAGCTTGAAGCTGGGATTCACTGCAGTGGCCAGGTGTCTTCACAAAGCTGCCTGATTGGTAAGCAGAACTAAGAGACAGAGAGAAGCTTCGTTCTGATGACTTGCAACCAGCCCTGCCTCAAGTTTTCTTGAATATAAAATAAAGAGGTGGGGATTAGAAGACATTCCAGGACTCTTCCCTTTGGTAAAGGTTAAATTGTCCAAGGAGGAGCCCTGGCAATCTTAGTAAGGGTTAGAGTTGGGGTGGTGGGGCGGGCCAACTCGGGCCATGTGGAAGAAGAGCGGGGGACGGGGGGGAAGGATAAGAGTAAATTAGGATCTAATGTGCGGTGGACCACCTGGCTTTGCTGGTGAGGAATTGTGTGTTACATACATTGCATGGTGTACCCGGGGTGGAAAGAGGGCTTATTGTCCCTAGGAGAAGACAGTTGTAATTCAGAGCTATTAGCAAAAGTAATAGGGCTGGGGCCCCGAGGAGATTCTCTTAGAATGCCTGCACACATTCGACCTAACCTAATTTAAGCCATGTCATGAGTCAGAACAGATCCCCATCAAATCTGTCATGCTTGTCATAACACAGCTTTTGAATAGAAGACATCGTGTCCCAGGAGACAGTCCTGCTAAGGAACTATGCTATTTAATGGGGTTTAAAGATTCCTTTTAAATTTCAGGGCCTGTTTGTATGAAATCTGCATTGGAAAAAGCAACTGCTTAGCTCCACTTAAAAGGAAACAAGATTTCTCCAGGCTAGGATTTGGAGGGCAGGCACCACAGCCGTAATTAGCTAATGATGGCGAGGAGCATAGCACAGAAAGGAATGGGGACTTTGGTGTGAGTGTGGAATGACAGAGATGCTTTTTTAAAAGCTACCATCTGTGATTCTGAATTACTTCCAAAATAGCCCTGTGGTTATTAATGATAATGTTTGTATTTCATGATGTCACCCCTCTGGATGAGGTGATTGGATCAGAGGTGGACACTTGGCCCAATTTTGGTCATCAGATTCTCTTGGGCTTTGGAGATGAGACACAGGAGCATTCTAATCTGTTTATGGCTGTTGTTTCTTGGACTTAGGACATAAACATTTCAAGGGACATAGGATGATGCGTGTTATTGGCCCAAAAACAGATATATGGATCAATGGAACAGAATAGAGAGCCAAGAAATAAACCCATACACCTACAGTCAATTAGTCTTCAACAAAACAGTCAAGAATATACAATAGAGAAAATACAGTGTCTTTGGCAAGTAGTGTTGGGAAAACTGGACAGCCGCAATGAAGTGAGAACACTCCCTCACACCATACACAAAAATAAACTCAAAATGGCTTAAAGACTTAGAAATAAGACAGGCACCATAAATCCCCTGAAAGATAATATGGGCAAAACATTCTCTGACATAAATTGTAGCAATGTTTTCCTAGGTCAGTCTCCCAAGGCAATCAAAATAAAAGCAAAAATAAACGAATGAGACCCAATCAAACTTAGAAGCTTTTGCACAGCAAAGGAAACCACAAAATGAAAAGACAACCTACAGACTGGGAGAAAATATTTGCAAATGATGAGACTGACAAAGACTTAATTTCCAGAATTTATGAACAGCTCATACAACTCAAAAACAAAAACAAAACAAAACAACCCAATAGAAAAATGGGCAGAAGACCTAAATAGACATTTCTCCAAAGAAGACATACAGATGGCCAATAGGCACATGAAAAGATGCTCAATATCACTAGTTATCAGAGAAATGCAAATCAGAACTAAAATGAGGTATCACTTCACACTGGTCAGGATGGCCATCATTAAAAAGTCCACAAATGATAAATGCTAGAGAGGGTGTAAAGAAAAGGGAACCCT